AACCGGATCTGTTTACATCTTCAGGTGAGAAAGGAAGACACCTACTCAGTTGGGCCCCTTAGAAACAGCTAATCTCAATCACTGGATCACTGGGTCTATTACCTAGAATTCCAGATGGAAAAAGTCCAAAAACCCAGTAATTCTGTGTGTCATTCACCATCTTTAGAACCCTTTAGAATCTACTTAATACAAGGGCCATTTGCAATTGATCTGTGCCGAGGGGTTATCAGTGGGACAAGTTTAGAGTTTAACTTAGTTTAGTACAGAGAGTTGTGGAATATTCATTGGAAAGTAATGAAATGAGTGCATAAGCTCTACTGTTAGAAACCATTACCAGGAAACAACTGGTGAAGACACAGCAGACTGAAAAGACTTAGTGTGTGCTGTAGTAATTTGTGAAGTGTCTAAATTAGCAACAGTGTTATGGTTACTTGTAGCTACCACCTGTAAGTGGTCAATAAATCAAATTCCCAATCCAAACCCCATCTATAGCACTTCTTCTCATGACAATATTTATATACTTATGCCCCATCATCACAACATAGGCCTTAAGATCACATCATGAGACAACATAATCATCCACCTTATTAGTTTGCAGAGAGGCTCAACATTTCAACCTTGTTCAGGAATTGCTTGGGTGATATTAACAAAATGCTTAAAACTATAAATATTAATGAATACCTTATGAAGGGGGCACGCGGTAGCTTAGTTGGTTGAGGCACTATGCTACAATCTGGAAGGTCATGGATTCAAGTCCCAATGAGGTCATTGGATTTTTTCAATTGACCTAATCCTTCCAGCCGCACTATGGCCCTGGGATCGACTCAGCCTCTAACAGAAATTAGTAACAGGAATATTCTTGAAATATTCTCGGGGGTAAAGGGCGGCCGGTGCATAAGGCTGACAACCTTTCTGCCATCTATGAGCCGACTGTGTACAAAATGTGGGAACCTCAATGTCTCACAACCCTATGGGCCTCCATGGCCTATTACAGGGATACCTTTACTTTTTTTACCTTATGAAGAGCTGTAAAAAATCGAAAATAACTGTGGAAGGAAAGAACAGACTGGAGACTCTTTCCGTCAATATATATAAAATTAAAATAATGCCAGGAGAAAACATATTTTAAAGGAATCTTTGGTAACTATCATTTCAAATGTCACATACAGCAGAAATGTATAGACTCCAACACTCAAAAGAATTTTGTACGGAAAATTAATTGAGATTTTTCTAAATATAACAAGATATTAGTGGTACATTTGATTGTTCATCATTATTTAAAAATTAATTCGTACTTAATAAATCCAATTTTAGCTTTAATTGTGAAACAGAAGTGAAATTGGAAATGACAGTAGTTCTATTTGCCATCTGAGCTGACCGTGGTCTCTTTACATAACAAGAAACAAAGGAAGCTTGACTTCCAATAAAATGTTACTTAATTGTAATTGTAATTCTAATTTATTTTGAGTTCCAGATGATCCAATAAAACTGGTTACAAACCATAGAATATAGAACATGTCAAATATTAATTAAAATATGTCAAGATAAGCAGAACAACATAAAAGTACAATACAATCTTAAGTACAGTTCTGGTATAAGTTGAGCTTAAGTAAATAATTAGAACATGTCAAAATTATAAAGCAATAAAATAAATTATATAAAAGACAATAAGTATTATCGTAAATACAACAGAACTATTATACAGATAGACTCATAAATTCAATATAGGGTAACTACCATAAAATTATAGTTAAAAGAAATATAAATGATTATAATTTGGCAGAATTTACAATGAAACTAAGTTATGAAAAATGGGAACTAGTTTATAACAATAATGACATTAATACTAGCTTTAATCATTTTCTAAATATTTTGTTATGACATTTTTATGAGTCGTTCCCAATAACAAGCAGACAAAAATACAAACAGAAACCATGGATTAGCACTGGTATAAGAATTTCTTGTAGAAACAAAAGAACAATATATCTTGAAGCAAAAAAAGTAATAACCCTATAATAGCCACCTATTGTAGAGCTATTGTAAAGTATTAAGCAGAGTGATAAATCTAGCTAAGAAGATGACATATGATAATCAAATTAAATATTCAAAAAATAAAGCTAGAACCACGTGGAGAATAATAAATAGTGAAGTGTTAAAGAAAGGAAATAGAGATATTATTCAAACCTTGGACATTGAAGGTCAAAAGAATACTAACTTGAATGATATTGTTGAAACATTTAATAGGTATTTTAGTGGTATAACAGATAATATACATAAATATATAAAAGGAAATGGTAAAAATATTAAATCTAAAACTACTAATCATATGACATACTTGACTGATGCATTTGAGAGTCCACTACCTAACATAAGAACTATAAAAACTACAAGCAGGGAAATAGAAAGGATTATATGGTCCCTAAAATCTAGTCAAATCTTTATTAGCAAACCGATAAGTTACTTATGTAACAGAGCTATGCATGAGGGTATTTTCCCAGACAGACTAAAATATGCTACAATTATGCAAATATACAAAAAAGGTGATAAAAACCTAGAATTAAATTACAGACCTATATCCATATTGACATCTATTAGTAAGATTTTTGAAAAGGTAATGCATAGTAGATTGTTAAAACATTTGAATGATAATAGTACATTAAATATACACCAATTTGGATTTAGAGAAAAGCAAGGGACTGAAAATGCAATTTATAGACTTATCTCTGGAATACTAGAGTCTTTAAATAAAAAAATGCAAGTCTCTGGGATCTTCTGTGACTTAGAAAAGGCTTTTGATTGTGTTAGCCATGATATATTATTGGATAAATTGAGGTATTATGGAATAAAAGACAAACAATACGACCTATATAAGTCATATCTATTGGATATAAAACAGAGAACTGCTATTTCCAATTGGACAAACAGCAGTAAAGTAAACTCACAATGGGTTAAAGTAACTAATGGTGTCCCGCAAGGGTCGATACTAGGACCACTGTTGTTTGTAATATATATAAATGACTTGCCCAAGATTTTAGAAACTAAGAGTATTCCCATTCTATTTGCTGATGATGCCAGTTTTTTAATCTTTCAAGACAATCCGATAAAACTTAAAAATTCAATAAATGAAGTATATAGAATACTGGAGGATTGGTTTAAAAAAAATTTAATGTCACTGAATTTAATGAAAACATACTATATAAACTTCGCTGTAAAAAATAATTTAGATAGAGAAATGGGAGGCATAGGAACGGTTTTATTAAACACAAATTACATTAAATTTCTTGGCCTGACTATCCAAAATGATATAACTTGGGATAGACATATAGATGAGATAATAAAGAAATTAAACACAGCTTGTTATATGATAAGAAATGTAAAACCAGTGGTGTCTGTAAAAACATTAAAAAGTGTTTATTATTCATACTTCCATTCTGTTATGGCATATGGAGTAATGTTTTGGGGTAACTCAACACAAGCTGAAAGAGTTTTTAAGATACAAAAGAGAGTTATAAGAATAATAGAAGGATGTGGTTTCAGAGAGTCATGCAGAGAACTGTTTACGAATATGAATATATTCCCTTTAAGAACACAGTATATATACTCTCTTCTGATGTCTGTACTAAAAAACAAAAAAATATTTGATACAAATAGGGATTGCTATGATATAAACACTAGACATAATATGGACATACATATGAGCCACGTAAATTTGACGAAATATGGTAATGGGGTAACTCACATGGCCATAAGGATTTACAATGCACTACCTAATAAAATTAAAGTAACTTCTAACGATATAAATAAGTTTAAAAACAATTTAAAGGAATTTCTTTATTTAAATTCTTTTTATACACTTGATGAATATTTTAAGAAATAATGATTTTTACAACTATATAAGTGTATAAGATGTTGAGTAATACAATAAATTAATAATCATCATGAATATGTGATAATCACACTTATAATTGAATGTTTTTATATGTTGGATTTGTTGTATACACATATGTTAAACCTATATGACTAAAATATTCTGTTACTTTGACGGAAGCTTTGATCTCAAAATTTTATTTTAAATGACAATTTTAGTGTATTGTACTAGAAAGTAGTTGTATGTGATATGACAAACTTTGTCATATACTATAGGTCTTTTTAACAATTGCTTGATAGCATTGACAAGACAAATTGACACAAATACTTTGTTACAAGCTTCTATTAAAAGTCGTTTCTGTTTTCTCAGTTTTGTAAGGATGGCCGTACACAATGTAGGGGCTTAGTGTCTTATGTATTATTAACATGATAAATTCAAGGAAATGATCTGGGTACGTGAATTATACACTGTTGAGAATTGCTTGTCATAGGTTTCGTGGTGTGTGATGGCTGTCTTTGTTGTGAATTTTAATGTTTTTAATCTAACTGTTTGGATGATATGGCTTGCCAGTGTGTGTGGAGTGGCAGGTTGTGGGTTTGACAGTGGTTTTCCAGCCACCTGTGTGTGTTGTCCTGACAGCTTGGGCTGTCTGTGTGAGGCCTGATTGTATGTTTTATTGGACTGGGGACGAGTGATGTGTGGTCACCATGAAATTGTAATTTTGTAATTTTATAAATGTAATGTTTTTATATGTTGGATTTATTATATATGTTTAAGCTATATGACCAAATTATTCTGTTACTTTGATGGAAACTTTTATCTTAAATTTTAATCAATTATAAATTTGAATGTATTATGCTAGAGAGAAATTGTATTATGATGTAAACATACATTGTCTTATTTTATAAGTCTTCTCGACAATTGCTTAAGAGTATTAGCAAGATAAATTGACACAATTCTGTATCTAAGGCTTTTGCCCACTATAGATGTAATGGAATGAGGAAGAAATAATAATAATAATAATTCATATAAAACCATTAGTTTAAAACATCATTCATTAACACTATAATACTTCTCCAAGTCATAAAAACAATGGGTAATCAAGTATCTTCTTAAAGAAATCTTAAATTGCTTGTGTATCCCAACAATCCCCTTTATTTCAAGAGGCAGATTATTAAATAACTTTATACCTGTAAACACCTTTAAAAAAACTAACATCAAAGAAAAAAAATTTGAATTTGTTAGATGCAATAATGGTAAAGCCAATGAATACTTGCAGTTCTGTGGTAATTCATAATATATTTTAGGAACTGTATTTCTGCTGATGATGGATTGTGAAAAGTTGGAATTATGAACAGATTATGTCTAACATATACAGTTAATAATGATTTACAAACTAAGCAGTCACAATGACACCAGCTTGTTTTGCATTTATCACAAATTCACTTTACATATAAAAATAATAATAAAAATTTAGTATCTTAGTGGCAATATTTTACAACAGTCTGAATACGTCTTTTTCTTCATCCAAGAAAAGTAGACCAAAAACATTGTCATAGAAGTCTGGATAATATTCACATGCTCTTTGGCAATCAGGACTCCAGTTAACTTCCAAGAGCTTGGGCTGCATGTCACGGCAGTTACTGCTGTCCACTGACCAGGACAGCATGATGTCAGCAGCATATAGGGCACGCGACTGTGGACTATGCGCTATTCCACGGGGAGGGTCCCTACTTGTTGCAGCAACCAGCAGCTCATGCAACATTTTAAATATCTTTGCTTCAATAACATCCCATTTGTGTTCTGGGTACTGACACTCAAACTCTTCTACAAACTCGTGGCACAATTTACGATACAGTACAGCAGTATCAGTATAGTTCATGACAGTGAAGTGTTTCTCATAGTCATCAAAGTCCCTGAGTTCAAATGGCTTGTTGGAAAAACGAAGGAAGAAATTCCTATAAGCATATGCTACCAATGGTTTCACGCTTTTGAGCAGAACAACATACCGAATATCAAATTTCACACCCCCACAATCTGGTCTACTGAAAAGCACTGGGTCCTCAATGTATTTCTGAGCAATTTTTGGGCCCGTAAATGGCAATCTCAAAATATAATTCAAATTGCTTGTAATATGGGTGTCTATACCTCGAGCCAGATTCCAAGGTTTGCAGATCCAGTGGTTATCTAAACATTTTTCTTGGCGATTCTGGTAATAACTAACAAATTTTACAAGTTCAGTCTTGAGATTAAATGTTGTTGGTAACCACAAAGGCTGTGTCTCTAGTGTTTTTGACTCAGAATTTCTGAAATAATTTAAATTCCTCCGGCTGGTGATGGAAAGGAGATCTTTAATGGTGATCACATTTTCAAATGGAAACTGATTCACATAAACAAAAGACTTTCTTTCTCCTAGTGCTCTGTAGTCTGTGAAATGATGTACATACCAAAGAACATCTGCATCTTCTTCTTCATAAGTAATTTCAAATCTAGGGTGCTTCAGGTAATCATTCACAAATCTATATTCTGAGTATACTTTAAGCTTTGTCTTCTGCCCTTGTTTAGCAGCATAAGCATCTAAATGTGGCAAGGACTCTGCTGAGTGTCCTTCCAAATAATATTCATCACTTGGCTCCTCTTGCCTAAAATCTTCCAACAGAAATGACTTTGGAAACCAAGGCAACAATAAAGCTTCTCTAAAATTAGGTTGTGTTAAAAGACCCTCCACATAATCCCTTGTAACCTCTTCTCCTTTGGTCAAATCCTGAACTGGGAAAAGGACTGAATATGGTATTTGATGTGGCATATGAATAAATGGTACAGCCCTGAAAGTTGGGTCATTGGAGTGTTGAATTGCTGAACCAAATTCATCCAGAATATACCACACTGGAATTCTCTCTTCAACATCTGACACTGATCCAATGGTGTATGTTTGGTTGAATTTCCACATTTCATTGAAAACTCTGTCCACTGCTTCATCCCCCGAGCTGTCATCTTTGATCCCCATAAGGTCTCTCATCCTTTCAAGAAGACCATCAATAACCCTGAGGTGACTCTTTGCTTCAAAAACACGGTATGTCCAAGCATGATCTATTAAGTAGATATGACTTGGGTCTTTTGAGTCAACACTTTCTTCAAAAGAAACCACAACCTTCCAAGACGGTTTATCAGTTTCACTTTTCAGAATCTGAAAAGTATTTCCTGCATCAAAGACTTGCTCGTTCAGCTTCCTATACAAAGTTTCCCAAAGGTGTGTAGGAACACCTGCAGATTCCAACTGAGTACTATGGTAGGCTACAAAATTTGCGAAGGTAGTTACACCATCTTTCTCGGATTCCATTATCAAGATTTTACGTTGGGTTGAAGAGCGTAAACTTTAGATTAATTCACTCACGCTCCAAACCTGTAAATTAACACCCTTCTAACACAATCATACGCCCACTACCTCCTCCAACACACGCACACATCTCTTACGCCGTGTTCGACTCACACAGTTTGTGGTTGTAGTAAAAATAAAACATTGCAAGACAATTATGTGGCATGCTTGAAATAGTTTTAATTTACATATTTCTAGAGGAAATTTATCGTTTTTAAAACAGAGAGACGGTTCGAGATAAAAGAAATCACCCCGTTACGGAAATACTTAAATCACAAACGTCACGACCTTTTTGCATTACCCTGCACGAAGTTTGCGGTCTACCAATTTTCCGTGTGAAATTGTTTGCTAGGTTAAACCAGTAGTAGGTGTTAATATGAATTCGCTACGTTCGTTACATTGGTATTCCTGTTTAAATATCTATATTATTTTGTGTTTGTAGCAGACGAGGCGGTAAGTATTTAATTACATAGGGATCGAAATTCTAGGTTATACAGGGAACATTATTGACAGATACGACATCCTGCGTCAATATGAAGTCTTAGATCCCAAAGAAATAACAGCTAATTTTCTGGAAATGTAATACGCGAACCAGTCAGTTGGTAGCTGGGTGGGTAATAAGGGTGGTATTTCAATTGTGGCTCCATCATCCAACACCATAGTAGCTATAAAAAGAGATTAAGTTGTATTTTCGTAGTAGATGACGTGAAATTTGAGCACGGGAAAGGGTTAATATTCGGCTATCGGTTTAGCGTTTTGAAGATGTTACTGGAATAGTGCACAATGTTCTGCCACTCTTGCATGAACGTCTTAAAGGAGTTTTGTTACCAAATTGCGCGTGGTATGAGAGTGTGGTGAGAAGGGGCGGAATATGAGCTGCATATGTACGAGGGATGGACGGCGAAACTTGCACTTTGTGATGGTCAAGGTTTAGAAACATCACTATATAGTTTATATGAGGTATGAAACGAATTTTAATGTTAGATATTGCAATTACAAGATTTGTTGGACGTAGAAATTTTTGGACGGAACAGTCTCTGTCATCAGTTGTTTTGTTATGACATCTGGTACACCAACCCGGATATTATGCACTGATGTTTTAGCTGAGGTATACAAATTTGTCTTTGTTCTCTAACATATTCACCTATACAGATAGTCATATTGTTATGTCATATACCAACAAATAATAGTTTGAGGAACAGGAAATGCCATGTAGTCCCAGCAGTGGCATATATATATATGCTGGATACAGGCTGACAGGATATTTGAATATGAATAAGGTGTGAAAAAACTGAGGATTTAAATAAATAATGAAGGTTAGATGCAGTAAACTCTCGTCCACTGCAGGAGATACATTTCTTGAATGAGGTCTATTCTGTGAATCTGCATTGCACTAAACTTAATGGGGTGACAGCTAAGCTGAATATTTATACTGTTATGTTTAAAAAGTAAAGGTATCCCTGTAACAGGCTGTGGAGGCCCATAGGGTTGTGAGATGTTAAGGTTCCCACATTTTCTAGACAGTCAGCTCATAGATGGTGACAAAGTTGTCAGCCCTATGTGCCGGCCGCCCTTTACCCCCAAGAATATTCCTGGTACTTATTTCTGTTAGAGGCTGAGTTGACCCCAGAGCCATAGTGCAGCCGGAAGGATTAGGTCAATTTAAAGAAATCCAATGACCTCATCGGGTCTTGAACCCATGACCTTCCGGCTTGTAGCATTGTGCCTCAACCAACTATGCTACCGTGTGCCCCACTGTTACGTGTGCTGAATGAAATGAGCCAAGTTGATTACACAGAAGCTAAACTGTCCTTAGCTTTTTAAACAGTACAGGTATTTTGTGTATGCTGCTCCAGTGTGTCTGGCAGACCATGTGTATCAGATTGTTTGCATTTATTTTCACATGTATGATTGAATTGTTGTTGGACAGATCCACATTAGAGGAGGCTTTTCTGAATACATAATTTGTTATAAAAGATGAGTTATCGTGTGGGTTACAGAGCAATGCTGGCACCGTGTCTCAGTTAATCTGTCTTTGGGCACAGGAATTACCATTGGCTCTGGACTGTGTTACTTGGTTATAGGCCAGGTGTTTAAATGTTCCACAGTAACTTGCCAGTCATCTGTTATGATTGCCGCAGAACATTTTCCCCCCTTTTTTTTTATTATTATTATTTTTTTTTAAAGGACAGTATTTCCCTTGTTGAGGTGCACTTCAAGTCATATTTCCTTTGGTTTTTCATAACACAAAAGACTTTTCTTCCTTAAAATTGTCTACTCACAATATGATATACTGTCAAAGATGTTTTAGACAAGGTTTGAGGCACCATGCTACAAGCCGGAAGGTTGCAGGTTCAAGTCCCAATGAGGTCATTGGATTTTTTCCAGTTGACCTAATCCTTCCAGCCACATTAGGCCCTGGGGTTTACTCAGCCTCTAACAAAAATGAGTACAGGAATTAATTATATAATTTTCCTGGGGAGTAAAGTGCGGCCAGCGCGTAAGGCTGACAACCTTACTGCCATCGTTGAGCCGATTGTCTAGATAGTTTGGGACCCTCAACGTCTTACAACCCTATGGGCCTTCATGGCCTGGTACAGGGATAGCTTTACTTTATGTATATATATCACACAATCCTAACACCCAGATAACACTCAGTAGAATGCTGTCTTTGACAATTTCTGTATGCTGTATAGCGTTCGTTCCTTTGTATCATAAGATAATTACTCCATATGTTTTACTGTGCATCTGTACATACCTCACATTACATTAGGGAACCAGCTAGCAGTAGTGATCTAATTGGTAAGTTTTGCATTCACTTGCTTTTATAGGGTTTGTGGGCCTATTGGTCAGCCATGAACTCTGCGATTTATATCTGTGGTTGTTGAAATCCTGATTTTAGCTGCAGGAATTTGGTAGGGTTTTTGTTTTAAGTGATAGTACACAATGCTTAGAAGAATTATGGCATTTTTATTGTAACATGTGTCATTGTTTCCACAACCTAGAGTGTGGGCTGTGAAACTGTATAATTAATAATTAATTAAAGTCTTAATTTTTCTGAAATTGGAATGAGTTAGAAGGTTCATCAGTGTCTTCACTTTGTTGGAAATTATGTCAAGGCCACAGTATACAGCATCTTGATTTAGTGTGGAGTTTTCAATGTGATAAATGTAACATTGTGATTGTTCTTGCAAGTCTGGAAAGACCTCGTATAATGTGGTCATGGGGAAGTCGTCATGTAGACCACATTGTATGGAGTCCCATGGTAGTTATATTTACAAATGAACTCCAAGTTTTCAATAAATGTTACTTTTTTTTAGACTGAATATGGAATTTAAAGTGGGAAGTGTGGCAAACCTTATCTCTGGAATCAACTCACCAGAAGCCTCAACCAAATCAAAACTATTCAGAAATGTAACTGAAGAGAAGAACGTGAACATAAAATTTCAGGCTATGCATGAATCTAAGAAAGAGAAACCCAAGAAAAGAATTATTGGAGATGATTCTTCAGTAGGACACAAGAAAAAGCAAAAAATTATGTAAGCATACTTGTATTTATACATTTATGTTGTTACAAATATGGTATCTGTACTCATCAACAAACGTTCATCCCTAAATAACAATGCTCAATGAGGTACTGTATTACTTTGTATATTTAGTATACGGTATATTTTTAAAAAACATCTGTATAATATATCATGTCCTTTTAGAAATTCTTGTCACACTACGTTTCAACCCTTAATAAGGGTCGTTGTCACATGGTTCAAACATTGTGTATTGATTACTTTCATATATTACATTTTAATACATCCACTCCCCCATACTCCATGTCATAGTGCTTAATTAGTTAAGCACAGGGACAACTTTACCTTTTTTTTTTAATAGTATATTGAATGACAGGTATGAGATGCCAGAATTCAAGATTATTTTGCATATATTCTCCACACATATTTATGTAACTGTATTCATTCTAATAATTTAGGTTTATGCTTGTAATTACATTTTTGACAAGAGTCATTGGTGCCCTCAGGGTTCCTCTCTCATATGGGCACTGTGAATTCCAGGAGCCACCAAACTCCTCCTTGTTACTTAACCAGATCTTGTTATCTGATTGTGGAACCCTACCCTTTATTCAGCTCCCTGTCCACTATGTCCTAAAGGTGACGCCCAGTGTGATGTGTATTTGCTATTATTTCTCCACACCAAACAGTCCTTGATGTTTTCCAGATATCTCTTTCCCAAGAAGTTCTTAGGTGTGGAGTCAGTGTAACTTCAGCAGCTACTCAGGATCTCTTATTTCATTGTATGTGAGAATTATTTTCTTACTTTTCAACTTTTATGGGATTGTCTGGCAACCAAGCCTCTCCATTTACTTCTCTCACCCTAAGCTCCTGCTCTTCCTCTCCCCACTTTCCTCCTTCCTTCTGTGTAATGTCTCTCCCATTCTGTTATCCCCATTTTTCCTTATGCTTTTCATTTTAGTTCCATGGTTAAAACCTTCTTTGGGATTCTATCTTTGTTCATTATTAAAACGTGGCCATGTACTCTTATTCTATTACCTATTAATTTATCTCACAGTGTATAAGTCTCCATAATTTATTTTTTTCTTATTCACTCCCTGTCTTTTTCCCTTATATACGAGGAGCATTCCATATATAATGCCTCCTATTTTTTTTTTAATGAAAAATACAACAGATACAGGAAGCATAATAATGCAGTTAAATAGAGCAAGATTTCAGCTACTTACAGTTATTTTTCCACATAATCACCACCATTCGTTATGCACTTTTGCCAGCGATGAACAAGAGCCTGTATGCCATGCCCATAAAAGTCTGCGCCAGCAGAGGCTAGCCACTTTCTTACAACTGCAATGACAGCATCATTCTCTGGAAAATGTTGCCCACATAGTCCATCTTTCATAGGCCCAAAGAGATGGAAGTCTGAAGGTGCTAAATCAAGGCTATAAGGTGGATGTGGTAGGACAGTCCAGCCAAACTTTGCAATGTGCACAGTGGTTGCCAAACTGGTATGGGGTCTAGCATTATCGTGTTGCAAGCAAAAGGTTTTCTGCTTCTCTGGCCTGACTTGGGAAATGCGGGCTTTCAGCTTAGTCACCATCATCTTGTAGCGTTCAGAATTGACAGTCTCACCAGGCTCCAGGAAAGCCAAGGAAATCACACCCTGCCTATCCCAAAAGACCGTGCACATTGCTTTCCCTGCCACTGGCTGTGTCTTGAACTTCTTTTTTCTTGGGGAATTCGGATGTCACTACTCCATGGCTGTCTTTTGGATTCTGGCTCGTAGTGGTGACACCACGTCTCATCTCCGGTGATGATGCTGTCCAGAAACTTGTCACCTTCAGCCTCAAACTGGTGCAACAGGTCCTGACAGACTTCCATTCGATGAGTTTTGTGGTCCTGTATAAGCATCCATGGGACCCACTTGGAACAAACTTTGCAATAATCGAGCTTCCCCAACATCGTTTCCAATGCATTACAGCCGATATTAAGCCATGCACACAGTTCCCTGGTCGTTATCTGCCGATCTGTACGGATGAGATGCTGTTCATTGTGAGGAGTGGCAGTTGAGCAGGGACGCCCAGTGCACTTCACTTTCGCCACTGTTGAAACGCACTACACACCACCTCACTGTGCTGACATCCACTGTATCGTCTCCATACACCTTTAGCAAGCATCGATGGATGTCAGTTAGTGCAATTTGTTTGGCAGTGAGAAATTCAGTAACACATCTCTTTCATATGCACTTCTATATCAGATGCCATTTTGGTAGACTGCACTGCTGTCACTATCTGTCGCACGACAACCAAACTAACAGTACATTGGCAGGAAGGTTCAACCTTTATTACAACACCACCAACATCCAGCTCAGACGTTACATATTAACACAAAAAAATAGGAGGCATTATATACAGAATGCCCTTCGTACTTAACAAAACTCATGTTAGCTGTTAGTTTACTGGTCTGCCCCATATGTCACTGTGGACATTATATTCTATTTATGTCTCTTGATGTAATTATAAAAGATTCACTTGGCATATAGCAAAGTTGGTAGTGTTACCAGCATATAAAATTGCAACAGTGTTTCCATCTTTCACATAGTCTTTAAGGCTCCTCTTAAGTTACTACATATTCTGTGATAGAAGAAGTAAAAACTTAAAAGAGGAAAAATTACCTCAATTTTTAGTTTTTGATAATATTATAATATTGAGACAATATTTTTTATAATTGGAAATTAATTTTCCAGAAATACAACTACCACTGATGGCATAGAGCCTGAAACAGTAAATTCAAGTGCTCTGTGTGCAATGAAACGTCTTAAGAAAAAAAAGAAAAAGGAAATTGAAGTAGAAAACGAAGACATCACTAAGGAACGTGAAGCACGATCCATTTTTGTTGGCAACGTGCCACACACCATTACTACAAAGAAGCTTAGGAAATTGTTTGAGAAATTTGGCCCAGTGGAATCTGTGAGGCTCCGTTGTCCTCCATTGGCTGATCCGAGGGTTCCCAAGAAGGTGGCAGTCATAAAAAGAGACTTTCATCCTGATAGAAATAGTATGCATGCTTTTGTTCGCTTTGTTGATGTAGAATCTGCTCGAAACGCTCTTGAGTTTAATGGGACAGTTTTTGAAGATCACCACATTAGAGTGGACATGGCAGCAGGAAAGGCAGATCATGACCAGAAGAAAGCAGTGTTTCTCGGAAATGTACCATTTGGTAAGTCCATATAATTGTTCTTTGAATGTGTTCATTAATTAATTTATGAATACAGTTTCTAGTAAAGCAGTCCATCACTGAGAGCAGGTTTCAAGTGTCTGCAGTATTCTTCCACAGGACTATGGGTGTCATAACATGAAAGACCACTTCCATGGAAACCTCAGAACTTGTAACTGCTGTTCCTTTTGGCAATGACAGTGTGATATTTAGCTGGCAGTTGCTTAGCTTGTGTACATGTGTCAGTGATATAGGCATGTGACTGCTGATCCCATTTTATTTTATATTGTTAAGTGCATGCAGTACATTGAAAGACCATGGAACATAATTGTGTGATGCAAAATTTGATGATGTGTGTTTTTATTGAAACTGTGAACTGAGAACATTTCCGTAGGAACACGTCTCCACTTATAGTATAGGAGTCAATGGAAAAATATTGTTCACATTATGGAATTTAGCTATAAAGACATGTTTTTAAGAACACATCTCTTTTGCAATGCTGGAATATGCTGAATATGACATATTATGTACAGCTGTCATCATATAGCTGTGAAGTTTGAAGAATACTAAATATATGCATATCTACTTCAGCTGCTGAAGAAGATGATTTGTGGAAAATGTTTGAATCCTGTGGCAAAATTTCTGGCATTCGATTGATACGAGACAAAAGGACTGGTATAGGAAAAGGATTTGCATACATCAATTTTGAGGTAATTTATTTTGTTACCTAAGCTGTTTGAATCTGAATTTTGAAGCAATTATTAAATCATACAGACATTTTATATCTGTATTTTCATTAATTAATATAAGGGGATAGTTTATATAAAGGTCTTGCAGGAATTATATATGATGGAGAAATTATCATCATCACTGGCATTGCTGCTACTGTTGAATAGTATGAGTCACAGAGATAGGAAGCATAAACTTTCCTGAAAACCCCTTATAAATTATAATAATAAACTGGAGTTTAACCAAGCAAGTTGGCTGGAGTGATAATGCTTCCCAGTTGTAGCCTTGAGGTGACAGTTTGACTCTCAGCCAGGACGCAGGCTATCCTCATTGAAGAATGCCGCCTTCTGGGATGTGGCACTATGTAGATCTTATGTGAACTGACGTTTCGGAGGAACGTATCGCCTCCACCTTCAGGGTAGAATAATCTGCAAGCGAGGAACCAGCGTGAGGAAGTGGCTGCAGAAAGTGTTTGCAGCCTCACACATTAACCCTTTGTCCACTCAATTTAAAACACTAATGCGTGGTTCAGTTAGCCCCATATTTTCTGTAGGTACTGAAGTTTTAGATGTGATTTTTTGGCTGTGTAGATGAGACAGGGACTTTCAAGTTTTGATACATACTGGTGACAGTAAAGGAGACTGACATTTCCCATTACAGTCATCATCACAGCAAACAGGGCCTCCACTAAGGTGCTGGTTTGGCCCGGGTTCGATCCTGGGTCTGGTCAATTGGGATTTGTGGTGGACAAAGTGACACTAGGGCAGGTTTTCTCTGAGTATTTCGTTTTCCCTGCCAATCTTCATTCCACCAATTGCTCCACAATCACCCTCACCTATCATCTGGGGCTGGTACAATAGGCCAGAAGTGGCCACAGTACAAGGGACTTAGTCCCACCCCACTAGCATAAAAAAAAGTGCCGGTTCTCCACTTTTATCACTCCTGTGTTGTTTTTATTTTCTAAATCATTTCCTTCTAAAGGGATTGAAACTACATTTAAACTAAAGTTGTTAACAGACTACAAAAACTGAAAGAGGAAACAAAGTAGATTCTAAAGGGTTCTGATGATGGTGTATCACACTCAGAATTATTGGGTTTTTGGACTTATCCATCATCTGGTATTCTAAATCCTAGAGAACACAACATTTCAGAAATTTTATCTGTTTCCATCCTCAGGTGACGGGTCTCAGGTATTTATATAGCTTAGTTATACTGACATTGGTTGTCCAGTGATTGAGGTTAGCTAAGGGATCCATCAGAGTAGGTGTCTCCCTCCTCACATAAGGATGGAAACAATCAGTTTCCCAAACATTGTTTTCTCTAGTTTTTGATTACCAGACAATGGACAAAGTTCAAGAACCCAGTAATCCTGAGAAAACACATTGACTAACACCATGTGAAGATTGAGGTTCTTAACAATGGGTAGTATGAAGATTATTCTGGGCTATGGCACCATTGTAGTTTGCTAGATAGGTTCTTCCGAAATGTCCGTATTCATGTGCTAAATTGTGTGTCATCATGTCCCAGACCATGATGTTTTGCATGTCAGCATCCACATCAGAGTTTCTGTGAATGTACTGTAAAATAATGTTGGCATACTCTTGTGCCATGAAGCTTTCTGTATAGAAAACCCCTGACACACCAACATCTCTTCTTGAAGCAGGCGTGGGGCACTTTGACCCATTTATAACATGCAATCAGCAGCACTGAGACATTTCCTGCTACATCTCACTACTGGTGTTCACTTGCTGGGCCACACATTTTTCCCATGTAATCTAACTTTTGCACTGACTATGTTTGAAGGCCATGCCATAGCTCAAGCAGTTAGTTGCTGGCTTCGCACCATGGCAGCGTTTGATCCCGGGTCTGATTAAGTGGGATTTGTGGTGGACAAAGTGGTGCTGGGGCAGGTTTTTTCCGAGTACTTCGGTTTCCCCACCCAATCTTCATTCCACCAATTGCTCCACAATCGCCCTCACCTATCATCTGCGGCTGATACAATAGGCCAGAAGTGGCCACAGTACAAGGGACTTAGTCCCACCCCACTAGCAATAAAAAAAATACTATGTTTGAACCAGACATAGCAGACATTAAATGAAATACAGTTTACAATTTATCAATATTTGAACTCATAGCTTCAACAAGCTACATATATGTAAGATTTGAGGTTTTCACAGCAGTGACTATGAAGAATGCCATTTTCTGGGATGTAGCGCTGTCTAGATCTTGTGTGAACTGACATTTTAGAGGAATGTATCTCCATTTTCAGGGCTTTCTACCCTGAAAATGGAGGCAGTAAGTTCCTCCGAAATGTCGGTTCACACAAGATCTATAAGGTGCCACATCCCAGAAAACGGCATTCTTCAAACTACATTTATTTTTCTGTGCATTTCAGTAATGACTGTAGGAGAAAATGACAATTACATACACATCATCTGATAGTATTGACATTGACATGCAGTAAGGTAACCCATCAGATGGGATTTGCAGTGAACTAGAGCGACCATATACATTTCTTTGCTCTCCGACTGTTGTACGGTAGATGTCACATGTTGTCACGTATGAAAGCTAAGACTACACTTTGTATTCTACTACTTGATGCGACATGAACTGTACGGATGTCATACGACTGATGTCGCTGTGTGTGTTCCTAGCCTTAGTGGTGTATTTTATATTGTTTCCAGCTGTTTAGGTCATAGAATTGTCCCCTCTTTGTCCTTGAGTGCATATTTTATTATGAGTCTTAAGTGTTTAATCTAAATGTTCCAGACTGCTGATGCCGTGGAACTCGCATTAAAACTAGATGGTGAAGAGTTAAACAAAAGAAAACTCCGTGTGCAGAGGTGTGTCAAGAAGCCAGTAAGAAAATCTGGTACCAGTCGGGAACATAAGCATGCAAAAGACAGAACAAAAGAACTGAAAACAAACAGTAATGAACAGACACTCATAAAACAAGAACATGAAGATATGAAAGATGTGATTAATGACCCTGATTCTGATACAGTGCCAAAGAGAATACACACAAAGCCTAGTCAAGAATTTCCTCACTTCCAAGGACAGAAAGTTGCAGACGATGAAAAGTTGAGAAAGGTAATGTTACATTGTATATTAATTGTCTTTACTCTCAGCAGAGCATTTAATACAAAGAATACAGTGTTGCAAAATACTCCGTCTTATGTACTATGTCTTTTAATGTTACACATCGACCAGTTACACTTTATTGAATAAACTGTCAGCTATATTTATATATGTCAGATTTCCAAAATAATTATGTAATTCATGCTATATTTTCTGTGATTCCTGTGTATATTTGCAGAAGAAGAAGAAACTGAAGAAAGCTGAATTGAAGAAGAAGGCAGTGGTCATGAAGCTGGGTCTTAAGTCTAAAGTTGTACACAAGAAAGTGAAGAAGCCTATTTTGAAAATAAAGTCATTAGCAAAGAAGATTAAATAACAAACCTTCAAGAAAATGGACACTGTGCAGTTTCTGATGTTTTATGTTTCTCTGTAAAGATCTGTAATCTGTTTTGCAGAAATTAACCTTTGCTTATTGGCAAAGGATGAGGCATTAGAGATTTAGGTTCCCTCTACACTGTCACATGTAGGGCAGTACGCGTGACGAGAATGATGGGTTCTAGTTCGGATGATTGGATTTATTAGCGCTTCAGTTACACACACTCTCTCTTAATCATGCTTTAAATACAGGCAACACAGCGCTGTCGCTGATTTGCACAATTTGCAGTTCACTGTTATACACACACTAAGATTCTGTCTTCACTAGTCGTCTCCTAGCAACGGATCTCAACACAGAACTGTCACTTCAAATCACTACCAATATAACACACAAAATCTTCCAATTACACTTTAGATCCTCACAGGCTGACCTCCTGTATTCTTCTGTAATCCTGGTTCCAATTTGCTCCATTCGCGTGCTTCGGCTGCTCCTGTTTCTCTCTCGTCACTCGTAACTGACCTGAACTGTCACACACACTCACTGTCACTTCTAGTTCAATCTCTTCTCATGATTCCGCCGCTACTATTTCTCTCTCGTAACTAACTGCTGACTGAACTATGATACTCATTTATATAGCCGAGGGACAGACAACACACCATCGCAAACACATGTCACATGATTGCTACCCACTACTATTGTGTGACGTCACCGCACGTGCAGGAAACGTCATGTAACATCCACATACTGTTTTGTGATGTCACAGCATTGATGTTGCATAGCAACAGTCCATCCGCGGACATAGAAAACACTGTTCCTATACTGTTGGCCGCATGTGTGTTGTGGGCATTGTCTAGCAGTGGGTCTACACAACACAATATATATCGTCACATGTATTAGTGACTAATGACTGGGCTCAGATTGGTAATTGGATTTATTAACCACTTACATGTCATAACTACAATTAGTTCTTACACTATTCTAATTTACACAATTTACAATCACTCCACACTAATCTTCATAGTCTATTTCCACTAGTCCTCACTCTCCATTTCCTGGCAACAGATTTATAACACAGAAACTGTAAAAGTCTCACTAAATTACACAATCCCAATATAAATGTATTACAGCACATGTAACGTCACACACTAAGTCTTTTAATTCTTCTTCTGGCTACACTGCTGTTCCCTTGGAACTTTGGAACTCAAGTGAAGTGAATTCCCATTCCCACATTCTCCTATATCCTCTCATCATGGACCACACACAGAGAACACAGCACGTGGTCACTATGCACTGTTGTGGGATGTCACTGCCTACATGGAAGCATTTACTGAGCCACTGCTTAGAAACGGGTTCCGTAACCCCGTTGTTCCACTGTTGCATGTGTGTATTGCAGGGTGCCTATCGAGCCGTTGCTCAGAAATGCATTGACATGTCAGACTATATAAATGTTTTATTATGCTCTGATATTACTTAGAAACCCAAAAGTTGATATCTGAAATAATGAAGATGTATCATTGTACCCTATGCTATCTCAGCCAAACTGCTTAATTCCATGAGATCCATTTTAGTATAGTCTTTTTTTATTCACTTAGTAGGGGGTGGAGTCCTGCTATGTCCACTTGGCACGGCGGCCACCGAGTGGCCTATTGTAGCCTGCCCCGGATGATTATGATGATGGAGAATTTGGAATGAAGATTGGCAGGGGAAACTTAAGTACTCGGAGAAGACCTGCCCCAGCGCCACTTTGTCCACCACAGATCCCACTTGACCAAACCTGGGCCGCCGCAGTGAGAAGCCAGCTACTAACCGCTTGAGCTATGGCATGGCCCCTAGTATAGTCTTAGTCTATTGGAGCTTGGACAGCTCAGTCAGTATGGTGATTAGGCTTTGGGCTCCATGACAGATTTGAGTTTTATTCATAACAGGTACAGAGAGTTTATCTTCTCCACAGCATCCAGATCAGCTCTCAGGCCGATGTAGCCTCTTATTTGGTGGGTACCAGTGGCTCTTCTTCATGAGATAAAGTTGCTAGGGCATGAAGCTGACAGCCCACTCCCATTTAGTACTGAGGTTAAGAATGCTTAGAGCTGCACGTCCCTCATATGTCTTCATGGAATTGTGATCAGTTATGCACAAGAACTTTATTCTTTTATACCTTGCTTATGAAGTACCCTTTTATCATATAATGTTACCTGAATGCTTTCATGTCTTAATTTCCTAACATTACTAAATGTTTATGTGCCTCTCTAGTAAAGCATAAGTGATCATTTAGAAACGTGAATTTCCAAATTTGTGACTATAAGACTGGATCTGTGACATGTCCAAAAATGTGTGTATAATAAAGTAACTTGTGTATCATCATATTATCTTTCTTCCTTTTTCACACTGAATTTTCATTTTTGTTTTAGGATACAAGATTTTTTCAAACCCGTTCATTGCTTCAGATTATGGACGCACATCCTTTTTCCCTTTTAAAAACCTACAGTATGAAATTGCTGCATATCTGTATGTCAGGTTTGTTCCTCATGTAAACTACTCTTAATATAAATTTTGGGATCTTCATGGTGGATACTGATGTTTCATAGCATGCTACCTCCATCTTCAGGGTCAAACCTGGTTTGGCCTCACCCTCTTGTAAGATTTGAGTGATCACTTCACTTGGAACCTGCCTGCAGAATGTAACCGCATCCTCTCTGTTCAACTGAAGTGATACCTACATATGGGACTGCACTGTAACACAACCCAACAGACCACAGTCTGTACTCTCTTAATATTTTGACTTCATTTTGGATGGTCTTATGGTGCCAAAGCAAACAAGACATCAATTAAATAAATGGACTGTTTGTGTTTTGGGGTTATAAACAGAAAAAGAGCACACAAAAATCAGTTCTATATGAAACATTGATGCAGTTCAAATCTTGGTTGTCTTTACATTTTGCATCTGAGGAAGCAAATACGACACATCTATATGAGGAGTATACTTTATGGGATATCAGTCTGTTCTCACTGTTTCTTCACTTGCAGATTTTCTTATTTTTCCTTCTACCCTGAAGATGGAGGCGATACGTTCCTCCGAAATGTCGGTTAACACCATATCTACATGGCGCCACATCCCAGAAAACTGCTTTCTTCTTATCCTAATAAAGTTTCCATTTCACTCAACATATATAATCCTCCTCATCAGTTTTATTAGAATTTCATAAGCACTTCACATGCTTACTATGTTCTATGTTTACATTTTAGGAACTCATAAAATTATCAGAGACATTAAAATATTTCAAATTACTGCAGTGTTGTTCCTTTCTATTATAGACAGAAATAGCTTATTTTTAACAGAGCTGTTGCCTTAAATTGTAGATCTGAAGTTCTGACAGTGATAACTCAAAATTATCTTGTGGGTTGTGATGATGTGTAATAGGCTGATAGATTTTACTAACTTTTCAGAGCAACCTGCTTCCCCCATCTTCATGATATAAAGAGTGAGGAATGTGTGGGCAAGACGAGTGGAGAGTGTTGTTACCATTTTGGAGGAACCTGCTGCTGCCATCTTCAGAGTGGAAGAGCACTGTTACCATTTTGGAGGAAGCTGCTGCCCCCATCTTCAGGGTAGAAGAGAGAAATGGAGGACAAGAGGAGCGGAAGAGTGTTGTTACTATTTCAGAGGAAGCTGCCATCACCATCTTCAAGGCAAAACTGAAAAATATACCCTGAAGATGGGGGCAGCAGGTTCGTATGGAATTGTGGTCCCTACCAGACTACACAGCATCACATCCCATAAGATCATAATCCTAATGTCATTCCTAATGTTTAAGTGTGATCTGTTTTATGGTGCAACAGAATACAAAGAATCTTTTAGTACATAATTTAATTATTGGAGCTGTTTAATGTCTTTAATATTTTCTGCTGATGTTTTCTTTTTCAGTTTAATTTGCATTGTCACTGGGAAATAGTTCAAATTTTCTTCAGCGCATGACCTACAGAATCGTCTCGTGTAAAATACGCTACAATCAGAAGACTGACACACAGGCTTCTTACACAAAGTGCAGTCAGAACCTAGAAGCAGAAACTGGTTTTTGTTCGGTGGCGAGAACGGATCCTTCATCGTGTAACTGTCTTCAAGAAACAAGATCTTCTTATTAAATGGTGGGTTCTTTCCTTTGTAGAAGTAACATTCCTGTAACCCACACTTCATACAGGTAAATATTCCCCCTTCATTTGTACCATGTGGTGGATTTGCAGACTTACTGTCATCACATTCCATGATGGTTCCAATTGAAAAAGAATGTAATTCTGTAACGTAGAACAAAAGCTAATTTTACTAAATTTGGATCCCTAAATTGCACTTGGCACTTTTGTTTTGTGACATAGCCTATACTAGCCAATATAAGAAGAGAGACTTTAATATTGATTTGGCATATAGCCATTCAAAAACCAGGTCATGCACCACCCCAGGGTGCTGGCAGTAGACCAGTTTATTGTATCAGTCAGAGGGTACTCTCAATATATTGGTATAATGACCTGTATGAATGTGACACTGTGACAAATTCATAAATATCATTGATTAATAGAGATTACAAAATTATATACATAGCATCAGTGCAGAGAGGAATCTTGAAAATGTTGCTTTACATAATGAACTCTGTTTACCACAGAAAATGTTTGAAGTTTCTGATTTGGAACACAATCTTTCTGGGCACACAGTTTGATGTATTAATCACTGGGAATGAAGTTTATTCCTGCAAACATCCACACTTACTGGTTAAATTCAGTTGATGAATTTTTTTTATAATGAACGCTGGAAAAATAAAGCAATTTATAATGGAAGACTTTTTGAGTTCTGTGGATATCTCCAGTTCAGCAAAAAATAACCATGTTATTTTTGATACTACATGGTTACATGGTACAAATTTGTTAAATATATAACATACATTGAAGTGAGACAGCGATGAATACTTAGTAGATTAAATGCCCACACCATCCAAAAATAACACAGTATACCTATGCCAAATGTGAATATGCTCACCTGTTCAGTAAATAGCGAGATGGAATTTCCACAAGTGGTAGCATCTCTGATTTGAATTTGTTGGGTGCCTAGTTTGAATTCTGTCCAAAATGTGAATTATTCTAAGGCTTTTCTGGTTTTACTCATTCTCTCCAGTCAAATTTCAGCGTCCTCAGGCCACAACAATTTCCTTTCCAGTACATTACTCACTATTCATACTACCACTTGATGTTATATGGAACGAGTCATTAAGTAAACCATAAATAGATAGAAACAAACGGTGAGAGTAGGAAGATAAAATGTTATAAATACATTTAGAAGGTTATACAAGAAAATTTTGAACTCAGACGTTAGTGACATGTGCAAAGATTTTGCTTCAGAGCAGATGGAAATCGGGTAAAGACAAAATATGAGTATAACCCAAACCAAACAAAACTAGTCACACTATACAACATGCCCATCACAAGACCAAAAGTTTAATTGTACATGTAAGAGGCAAAGTTGCATAAAATATCTGTGGACCATATTCTTGCTCATAGTGATGTTATGGAAGTCTGCTACCTCAGACATAATATATGCTTCACTGCTATCACACACACACACACACACACACCATAGTTTATTAGAAGCTAAATTTTGCATAAACTATGATGTATATAATGCTTAATGTTTCAGTTTCTTGTAGAGGAAAGTATCATTATTGTATAAGGCAGGGTGCAATGACAAAACATAGATCAATTTTTAGTACTAACATCAACATAAATGATTTATTAAACACAGCAAACAAATTAAAATTGAACACCCTGTTGTACATAATATCTTCTGGTATATTTATCACAGTAAAATATGACTTTTCATGAAATTATACTTGTGAGCTAGCCCTTTCCTGAAAAAATGCGTTCCTTTGGTGCTTCATGTGGCCACCAGCGTGGTTTCATAGTTTTAGCTGTCACATCCAGGATTTTCAGCCTTGGAACATCAAGAGACTCTGCAATCCTTAGAAGTGCTAAACCTACACTGCCTTCAATTCCTCGTAACTTTCCAAGTGAAACTTTACTGGATCCACTTGGTACCTGTATTGGAGTGTTTACATCAAATTCAGTTTGTGGTACTGTTTCAAAAATGATTGGCATAAGACGTTTACGAACTACACCTGTGTGATGTGTTCTGGCAGTGAGTTCTTGGCCTATATAGCAGCCCTTATGAAAGCTTACCCCATGTAAGTAATCTCCATTCGCTTCTAAAGGGAAGCAGTTTTCCGGTGGTAAATCATTGACTCCCTCACCGATCCCAAGTTTATACCTAAATGCACGGTAACACAGCTTCATTCCTTGATATACAGATTCACCTTTGCCCCTTTGTAGTGAAATATCTTCACCAGCTGGTGCAACAATTCGAACCCCTAAGGTAGAGAGTCTTGGGTCACGGCATATTAGTATATCATCCCTCTTCTTTGTGAGATCATTTATGACAGATTCATTAATAGCAGATTCTATTGTAGGTGAGATTATCTGACCCTTATGTACAGTTTTAATTTTATTAACATCTGTGTCACTCTCGTCACTTTCTGCTAGTTTAGGGTCAAATACAACCCACACTTTCAATTTATCTTCCATATTTTCTATATCAATCTTTCTTCTAACACGATACACTTTTAAATGTCTCTGCAGGTGTGATACTGCTGACTTATCACAGTCTATCAAGAAAACATCCTCTTCTTTCAATTGATAAATGATGGCATCATACATGACACGCCCCTTACTATTTAAAAACATGGTGTACATGCTCTGTGCTCCTTCTTCTAAGTGCCTCATGTCATTTGTAATAAGGCCTTGCAAAAAAAGTGATGCTTCTTTACCAGACACTCTCAGAATGCCTCGGCTGTTAAGACACTCTACAACTTCAGATTTTTGTTTAGTTGTAACTGATATATTTTTTGACATACATGATCTGAAACGTAAACTGTAATCTGAGAAGTGTTGCAGCAACAGCCTCATGGTGTTTGACATTTGAAGCATTCTATTCAGCTATGTTGCTCTTGGTGCATTGATATCTTTTCCTGTTGTGGATTAAAGATAAAATTTTAAAAGAAAGAAAATATGGAGCTCTGTTTTCACAATGTACAACTCTTAGATTATCAGATATCATGGGAAAAGCAAGTAATGTAGATATAAAAATAATTAAAATTTATATAGGATTTGAGTTTTTCACACCAGTGGTTATAAGAGTTCTGGGCGAAGACCATGAAGCTACCATGATTGACTCATTATATGGAATACTTTACGCAAATTGCTTCAGGTTCCAATATCTGAGCAAAATGATTATGAATCAGATTCAAAACTACTAGTCTTAATCTATTTGCTGGTTTCATGATTATTTTTGGTGATACAACTTCAAATCAGAGAGTGTGATGGTGTAGTAACCACTTTCTGCAGCTGGTGCTAGGTGGAAACCCAATTGTTTTCAACATATCTTAAGCTTACAAATTATTACTAAAACACATACCATTTAATGCTATGCCAATATGGCATAGAAAATAACCATTCTTGTATTGATGCGGAAAGAAGTATTTTAGGTGTAAAGTCGGCACTTGCTTCGATGGATTTATTTTTCGTCAGTATTACATATATTTATTTAACTATGCAGCTTGTATCTCTTATGGTTTATTTTCTTAATGGGTACCTGAAACTTATTTAATGAAACGGCGTCATTAATGACCACTACGGGTGTCATCCCTAACCTATATTCGAACATCATATGGTTATCCCATTTTACACATCTTTGGCTTTTAGAGCCTTTAAACAAAAAATGACAGATTGTGAATATTAATATTACTTACACATAATAACAATGTATTTAATTACACATCAAACATACAGCCACCAGTACCACAACAGTTCATTTGCAGCTTCCATTTACATCTGAGCAGGTGCACCAACATACCATTAGAGTAGTACAATTCGCAACCAATGTGGCTTGGTTAAACAGCGCTGTGTTTGCCGAGAGTACGTTACAAGTTTGCAATTAAAAATTATGCGTTGTAGTACATGATGTATATTGTCAAGTACTGCGCTTCCCTCCGCCTCCCCCCCCCCCAACTATATTTTCCAGTACTGTCAATGTCGTAACATAAAGTGGCCAGATAGATATGCGACTTTGAGAAGTTTGCTCGTATGCATACAGGCTGAAGAAATCAGTTTTCATTTCATTTATTCTTTAAATTCAATAAATCCTTTTTGGCGAAGCCAAGGATGTTGAACAAGTCACATTGAAATCAGAACATACACAAGAACAGTTCATAAAATAGAACTCAGTCACATACAGAACAATCATAAAATGAAATTATACATAGTGATAATCAAAACACAAAAAATGGAAATTGTTCAAGTTAAAATCGATTAAATTACAACCCATAAAAGCTTATGCAACACCATAACATATGCATTTCACAAGATTTCAATATACACAACATACACAAGAACAGTTCATAATATAGAACAGACAGATATACACAAATTTAAAAAATCCGGAGTTTGTAACGCGGCTGACTTCATAGTTCCGTTTCCTCTTCCTTAGAATTTGACCTATCACTTCGTTAACTCTGCATAAAGCGTGGGAAAGTTGCTGCTTGTAAAAATAGTAACCTTCGCGACTGTGGTGCAAAACGTGTCTTTCTACAACCTTGTATTTTCCGGACTCGTATAAATTAACGGCAGAAAACCCATTGAAAATTCAAACTTATGTAACTAAATAACAAGGAATTATTTGTATTTCTTTCCCTATCAACACAATATAATTCAAACACTGTCACAGCATTAATCGCACATCAGGGTCAGATTTAAGGGGGGCTATCAGAGCGGTTGCTCTGGGGCCTACATATTACAGAAACGGAATCCATAGACCTCTTTTACTTCTCAAAGTCACGAAAAGTTTTAAATATTATAAGAAACAATAAAAACAAAGCAGAAAATTTTCATAACCTAAATTTGTAGTTACTGATGGGAGCCTCCACATTTTGATCGTCCCGGAACCCCAGCATCTCTAAGTCCGACTTTGACACACAAGCAGAGATACAAGTTTAAGTGTCAACAATCTGCATCCGCAGTTGAGTGCGGTTTCCAAGACAATGCATTTTAATTTGGCAGAGAGGATAAGTGTTGCGTCAGAATATGTCCTATGCACAGCCAGGAGCCAAAACCATGGCACAGGTCGAGAACGTACAGTATTAGTATATTTACAATAGGATAGCGCATTTTAATGTGTGTCACATGGACATGCAAAACGTGTCAGTGCACACACGCCTATACAGTAGACTACGAGGGAAAATATGTGCGAATAGCTGCTGGGAACAGAAAGCGATACGTTTGATAGGTTTCAAAACATACGAGCTGACAGAGTAATCCGCAAGTGCTGACCTATTTAGTAAATTAAAAAAAATATATATATCCAGTTTACCCAGTTAAGCAATGGACATCTGGTCTGTGAATGATTACATTAACGGAAAACGGTTACAAATTGATCAAGTATTGTTACATTATTTAATTTCGCATCTAAAAAAGTGTAACCTAATCAGCAGCCCGAAAGCCGAAAGCAAATAATGTTTATCTAGCAACACAAATTCACATAACATTCTTTGTCATATTAGCATCAGGTATGCTATCGAATGCCGCGTACACCAAATGTGCAGTTAGTGGTTATTACACAGTGTTGGTCATCCTGTCGATTTGGTAAGTGCTGCACTCAGACGAAATCAGACGTTACAACAAGATTTGTGGAGTTATGGGGAAATAAGAAACAAAATAAAATACATAAATTATTTATTATTCTCTTGACACTGACCTTAAATTTAATTTACTTATATACATTGAATTTAATTTACAGATAATATATAATACCGAAACTAACAAACTTCCTTTTGCCGAGTGAGTGGCTGTTTCCTAGTTCCCTTGAGGTTCACATGTATGAGCCAATCAGGACTTTAGTCTGAACTAGGTTGTCCTCGTTGCCTTTTACGGACATTGCTAAGTTCACAACCACGAGTTTGGTTTTCTCCCCCCTTTCCCCCGAAATAACAATAAAATATCAGACTGCCTAAAATTAATGCTTCATACAAAACTGACATTCCCTATGACTGAAAATGTAAAACAAAATGATGCATTAACCTTTCGAAGTAAAGCAACGATTAGTAACACATCCGCGAGTAATGTAACAGAAACGCGGCACAGCAGCGGATAAAGTTTTACCAGATACTGGAGTGGGGGTAACACGGCGCGGAGTTGAGTACAGTCAACAGTGTCAGTGAAAAGTAGGTAGACGTGTTGTGTAGGACTGATGTGCCTCTGAAGTGCTTCTTTCGTATTATAGTCGTATACTGCCATATCACCTCTATCTTATCTGTGACGTTAGAATTTCTTATGTACGATATAACACGTGTTAACTCCAAACATGAAAATTATACCTATGTTTAAAAATTGAAACAAATTTAGTCGCGAAACTTTTATTTATAGTGTGTGCGTTGTTTGTTTACAAAAAGAAATATCAACATGTTGGCCGATGGTTATCTGGTTGGTGACGGCTCCTGGAATTTGCGAGTATACGTCACTGATCTTCAGGTAGAAAGGACTCTCAGAGTGAAGGGTGATTTGCACATCGGTGGAGTCATGTTGAAGCTCGTGGAGGATTTAGGTAAGTTCACAATGAAAACACGAACGATGAATGCCTTCCTCGACCATTATAGGTAGAATAATTCCACGCAACCTCATCATCGACGCTGTGTAGTCTCAATATTGACAATGTCGTTAAATAAACTTACAGAACTTTCTTCTATGTCCGGTGTATGAATAAAGGACATTTATGTTGGAAGTCTGTCACCCGAAATCTCTATAACTGGACTGATGGCATTTACTTATTTATTAAATTTTATGAGCAGGCGTGGCTCAGTCGGTATAGCGGTTAGGATGGACGACCCAGAAATCGAGGTTCGATTCCCGGCAGGGGAGGAGGTGTTTCTCTTCGCTGGAGCGTTCGGACCGGCCCTCGGGTCCACACAGCCTCGTATGTGATGGATACGGGGCTCTTTTCGTGGGAAAGAGGACGGTACCGACCTCTCAACTCGAAGTAACGCAGTTAGGAATCTGTGGAAGTATACTTCCATTCTCCCATACGTCTTCATGCCTTGATGCTTTAATTACCTCAGCATTTAGTCTGTGTAGGTGTCCAGTTGTTAAAATGTGCCTGAAATGTCCGTGACGGTGCGCCATGGTTAGGTAGTGACGTAGATTTTTATGTCGTCATTAGAAAGTTTAGCGACTTCTTTTTCAATATATGAGAACCATAATCGCCACACCAGAGTTCCCATTGAGCACACTGGACTCGGTTGGCTATTTCAAGGCATGACGCAGCTGCAGAGGTAAAAAGGTAACGTTGTGCAGTGCAATAATAAGTGAAGCATCGCTCCATGAAGACTTCGGAGGGACTGGAGGTGTAGCTCCACCAATATTGACTTCGACAGTAGTTGGAGTTGAGTGGTTATCTTCACATCCTGCCCGCTTTACCCCGAGGGAAACAGCCCCTGGTACCCATTGTGTAGGAAGCTGGGTGGGCCCCGGAACCTGTATGGTCATTATGGAGAAGAGATTTTTTTTTGTCCCTGCCGGAAATCGAACCCCTGCCGTCCAGCCAGCCCTTGGCTGTACCAATTGAGCTACCCTTACACAAAGTATGTTTAAGGCGTTTACTTATGCAGTTATAGGAGACTGACAGTTTTGTAACTCATTGTAGTGTTAAGACTCATCGGAGCAGACACATGAAATGAATTTTCACATTTAACACGGCCAGAGTCCGTCCTCATGTGTCGTGTTGCCTGTCACAAGTGCTTATGTCTACAGAATTCATTGAGTGACCTTGTCACTGAACCGTATAATCAGTTCGCAAAGAAACGAGTTCAGGCCCCGTAGGTTTCTCGCACTGAAATGGCTAATTACTTGACTCTTATCGGCCATTACGTCATCTCCAAGAATTCACATGGCCACTTCGATGCATGTATATAGCGTAGTTGGTATAGCGACTGGCTACCGGCCGAAAGCGGAATGGTTGCACTTCGAGCCCCGGCAGGGGATAAGACTTTTCTCTTCTCCGCGTTATCCAGACTGGATCTGGGTCCCACTGCCCGGCGGCTCTTACCCCGGGAGTAAAGCTACCTGGGTGTGAAGGTGATCATTCAACAACCAGTGCCGAGGTCAGGAATACGTGGATCTGCACATCGACTGTCCTATAAGTTTTCATGGCGTAGTGCTTAATTAGTTAGGCACAGGGACAACTTTATATTTTGTCATTATATCATTTATTCTTTACAAGTCACGAGAAGCTGCTAGTCTCTTATCTACCTACAGATTTCTCCCCATTTTTTCGAATGCAGAGATTCACATGAGCCCGCCACCGGCTGCTATTCGCAGACAGATGTATCTTGTTCACTTCCTATTCCTTTTAATATCTAGCATAAAAAATTGTCCCGGTGCTTCATTAACCATCACTACATGAAGGCGTATGGGAGAATGGAGATACTGCTCCACGTATTCTTAACCTCAGTGCTATATGTGTGGGCCACCTTGATCTCGAGAAGAGGGTTCTTTAATGTTGTCCAGTACATACATGAGAGGGTTCTTTAATGTTGTCACATGCAGGACAAGAGTAAAGAACCCTCTTCTCGAGAACGACAGGGGGGCACACATTCGGCCCCTGTCAAAAGAAATAATAAGAGGGACGACACGCACCAGCTTGGTTTACGAATTTCAATCGAATCTTAACAAACTAACTATAAATATTTTAAAGTATTGGAACAGCCGCTGTAGTTGTAAAAACTTTAGATTTTACAGCCAATTGTATATTATTTACATTGTATGTATATATTTTAACTTTTAGAACATGTACTGTAATAGTGGCTTCTAACTGTATTGATGGAAAGGTGTCCCCCTGAAGATGGTCTCTGAAGACCGAAACATGTAAGGACGTGAGGCCTTGGAGGCCCATGGGGTTGTGAGATGTTGAGGTTCCCACATTTTCTAGACAATCGGCTCATAAATGGCGGCAAGGTTGTCAGCCTTACACACCTGCCGCTCTTTACCCCCAAGAATATTCCTGGTACTTCCGGGAGGGACTTTAAGCCGTGGGTCCCGTGTCGAAGCTTTACGGCACGTAAAAGAACCTCATACCTCCAAAGGAGGTCACTGAGCAAAATTGCGGACGTTTGCCGCCCAACAACAGTCACTAATACCTCCGGTAGATGGGGGAAGCATTATAGATACGTCTCAGCCAGTAGAGCCGGTCTCGCTGGCTGGGCGGGACTGATGCTAAGCACGAATACCGGTAGGATATAGAGGCTGGTAGAAATCATAGAGGGAAGTACAGTGGACCACTACAGGTCTAAGTGCATGGGGAAACCCATCCTCTCTAATAACTAACTAACTAACTAACTAACTACTTCTGTTAGAGGCTGAGTCGACCCCACGGCCATAGTGCGGCTGAAAGGACTAGGTAAATTGAAAAAAATTCAGTGACCTCATCGGGACTTGAACCCGCGACCTTCCAGCTTGTAGCATAGTGCCTCAATCAACTACGCTACCGCGTGCCCCCGCCAACCATGGAAGGGTTTTATTTATTTATTTATAAATCAAAACCGAAAGCCTAACACAAGTTACCAGTGTTCCCCGCAAATACATAAATAGCAGTTCTTGCACTATGTTTTGGACCCTTTCAGAAGTGAATCTCTGAATTGAACCATATTCTTGGTGTAGCAACGTGTCACATTGATTCATAACTGTGAGTAATGTGTAGTTGCGATGCATTTCATTGCACCAATACAATGCCATCCTTTCAGGATTTAAGTGGTATATCTTGCTGTAAGATCTCAGGAAAAGGGAGTGGCGTTTTGAATTTCTTACACACGTCAGAGGGACCAAGAAGATTCCTCTATACAGATGGGCAGTGTCTCGCATAGTTTACATTAACGCAGTATCTGTTACAGCTGCACATCTGCAGAAGGGTTTGACTTGCGTTTGCTGCTCCGCTGCGCACCATCTCGAATCGTACTATACATATGTGGTGTTACTGCAGGACAGTAAATGCAGTTATGTAGCGATTGGATCCGAAAGAATTCCCGTGTATATATCAAGCCGCTGTCAGTAGCCAGACTATATATCGTCGAATGACTGATGAATTGCAAAGAATTTTGAAGGAAGCGGCGGTGATCTGACTGTGGGACTACTCTGCTATATGCCGAGGGAAAACAGAAGAAACTCGGTCAGGATACACGATAGATTAGAACCGAGCACGTCTCGAATACGAGTCTGGAGTGTTACCTCTACACCACTCCGTTAAGTGACTCCGTATAGTCTGGTAGATACCGATGTTAGTGAGGAGCATGCTGACTTAATCTTATTCCCTGAAGACAGATGCAGAAGGTTCCTGGGAAACGTTGGTAACTGCCACATGTTACACTGCGTCAAGTCTCAAAAGAAGGTAATGGTCAGACTGAACAGTTTGGTGTAAAAGTAACGGTTCAGATTTGTATTTGGAAGGTCCTCGATTCGATTATCGTCAGGGACACAGGCCGTCCTGACTAAGGTTTGTCGTGGTTTTCCGCAATTTTCCAGGTAAATGCCGGCATAATATACCTTGATTAGGTCACAGGTGTTTCCGTACAAATGCTTCTAACTCATCTTTCAGATATAATCCTGCGTTCGACGTTATGGACTAGTTACTGAAACCATCTTTAAATAAAACAACAATAACCCTTGGTTTTTATTTTAAATCAAGCCTTGTTAAGCACGACTTCAAAATTCTTCACGCCATCGACGAAGGTGTTTATGTAACCTATTTATTTAAATATATTGCATGCATTTACATTTATATTTCTGAAATGTTCTGAGATATGACGTCTTGTAATCCGTTGAAAAAGCAGTATCCCAGAAGATAGTGAGTGCTCTTCATAACCACCGCTCTGAAAAACTCACATCTGTGTAAATATATATTTATGTTTATAAGTTGATCATATTTCTCCGTAAGGCTTCAGACTTGTATTAGGGAGGTGTTTGGTTCGAAGGGATGCCCTCTGTTCTGAAGTTAATATGATCTACCACAGTTTCCGGATGAGAATTGGTGAGCCGGGTTAGCGCAGTCGGCATAGCGAGTGCCTACCGGTTGGATGGCCAAGGGGTCGGAGTTCGAGCCCCGATAGAGTCAAGAATTTTCTCTTCACATCGTCCAGACCGGCTCTGGGGCCCACCAAGTCTGTCCAGTTGCTATCGGCGGATTTTCCCCGGTGGTANCGCGCTGTCTGCGCTCGGTGAGTCGGGGGGGGGAGGGGAGGGTGGGGGGGGGGGGGGGGGCGTGTAGCTGACTACTCACCTCCAGCTAGTGCCGAGGTCAAGAAAATGTGGATCTATAATCCACTTCCACATACGCCTTCATGGCGTAGTGCTTAATTAGTTAAGCACAGGTACAACTTTAACTTCTGTAGAAGAATTTCGGTTTAGTATCTACCGAAATCCCCCCATCTGTCCTTTATGATGGGCGTCTCATTTTGAGCCTGTAAACTGAAATTTAGAGACTTCATATAAGCCTGAACAAATCATGTAAGTTTGAAGCTTGTCTGAATGGGAGGAAACTTTTTAAGTTTTGTGAGGGAC